TGAGTAAATAAAGTCTAAATTAATAGTTCGGATTATTGGTCGAGTCATCACCTAGTGTCTAATTAACCAGTTTGCTAATGAATTCGGTTAAATTTCGTTGTCAATAACACTTTGTTAAGTCACTAATTGAGTCTAGGCACTAAGCCCCATGGTCATAACACGAGTATTAACATGTCACCTACACTCACTAGTCCTAGTACACACTTTAGGTACATGTATCACCATGACCATGTCTTAGGTTCATGCATGAGTCTGTTTTCTCCGTCATTTGAGTTGGGGGTACATTCTATTCCTAATTTTTTCATATTTCTCCATCTACATCATCTTTCCATTCTCTACATGCTTTCTTCACATTACAACCTTCATTCTTCCTACCTTCTTTTATCTATGCATGTTGAATAGAGTTGAGTCAAATAATTAACAATGAATATCCCTAATTTCCCTTTCCACAGTACTTGGTCAAGGAGAGAAGGGGGATTAATCAAGGACAACACCTTTGTTTAGGTCTTACTTTTTTATAAAGCGATTCGTCAAAAGAGGAAAGCTAAGAAGATAATGGCAACTCAAGAGGAAGTTAATGAACTTAGGAATCAATTGCATGACATGACTGAGGTGTTAAAGGCTTTAACCCTAAAAAATGATGACCCTGTGAAGCAACAACAAATGAACTTTATGCAAGAAAGTTTGAGCAAGCTATCCAGTGAATATAAATTTCAGGACATTAATTCACAAGGGGTCTCGCTGGACAAGGAACTTCTTCCACATAAGTTCAATGCCACGGACATCCCTAAATTCAAGGCAACAGATAACCCTTACTTCCATCTAAGAACTTTTGAAACTATAATGAACATTAAGGGTATCGATAAGAAGGTTTTCCCCTCTCTGTTCTTGCTATCTCTCGAGACCGTTTGCCAGCAATGGTTCTTTTCTCTCGAGAAAGAAAAAACCTCCACCTGGGAGTCCATAGCAAACACTTTCATAGATAGATATAAGTGCAACATCCAAGAAGAAACACACCATAGACAACTCGAGATGTTAAAACAAAAAGAAAACGAAGGGTTCACTTCTTTCTTCAAAAAATGGAAGGAAACTTCCGCTAATATGGTCAAGGCTTCTATCGAAAAAGAATATGTGAGGATGTTTATCAAGAATCTCCAAGGGAAGTATTCAAGGCACTTAAAGTACCAACACAATTTGAATACTTTCAAGGTTGTGTATAACATAGGCATTGACATTGAAGATGACCTTCTGAAAGATAATAGTGCGAGAGGAAAGAAGAACGACCATCCTTCTTCTTCCTATCCCATTAATGAGGTACATGCTACGAACGCCTCTAAATCACGAATCCAAAGGTCAAAAAGAGTGTTCACTCCACTGGGTATGAGTTATGAAACAGCTTTCGAGAAGCTACATCACAAAGGACTAGTCATGCCCATAGGGCCTATCAAAGATCCAGTTCCAGAAGCCAGGCCACCCAAGTGGGACCCTAAAAAGCACTTTAAATATCACCAAGTAAAGGGTCACGACACTGAGGAGTGTTGGAAACTCAAAGAAGCGATTCAAGATCTGATCGATAACAATGAAACTCCTGAGATTCTAGCCATCGAAGAAGATAAAACATCCTTTGATCCATCACTTCTTATCACACCTGTAGGAGAGCCCATGATCGAGACAGCTTATATAACCTCTCTCGATGAATTGGCCATGATTAGGGAGGATGAAAGTCTTTTCTTAGATAATACCAAGAAAGACTCGTCAAGTCTAAAAGAGGACATTCGAAAACTGCAAGATGTCATTGTCATGCTCTTGAATGTGGTAGAAGGACTAGCAAATAGGGTGATGTTTATCGAACAAAATTTTCGTCAAGGATTTAATGAAGAACTCAATGCTCCTAAGCCACGGGCAAAACGGACCATTGAAGAATACACACCAATAGGAATGACTTACAATGAAGCTTTTAATTATCTTCACGATCAAGGTCTTATTCACTCCATTGGTCCTAGTCAAGACCCTCCATCTGAAAAACGTTTTCCCAATTGGGATCCAAATTCCTATTGTCGATACCATAGAGGTCACGGTCACACCACCGAAGTATGTCTCCCCCTCAAGGATCGTTTTCAAGACTTCATTGATTCAAATCTCCTTCATGTTCCTCCGCGCGACAAGAAGGCCAAGATTAGTAACGATAGTAACAGTGGCTGTAAAGGGAAAAAGAAAGACTATCCTTCTTCTTCCGAAAACACCTACTCTAGTAACAGTGTTGGTACTTTTTACCTTAATGAGATCTTAGCCATGGATAATCATGGATTTAGAAAGCAACAAAAAAAGGATTTTACCCCTATTGGAATTAGCTATGATGATGCTTTCGATCGACTCCATGCCAAGGGACTCATTACTCCTGTTGGACATCTTCAAGATCCCCCGCTTGAGAAGAGATTGCCTAGTTAGAATCCAAATGTGCGCTGCAAGTACCATCAAGGTAGGGGGTCGTGCTACTGAGAGCTGTTGGAAGTTAAAGGAGGCTATCCAATATTTGATTGATAATAACAAGCTCCCTATACCTCCAATTAACAAGAAGAGCCAGTGAGGATAAAGCAAACAACATAAGACAAGAGGCGAGCTTCAACGACGAGATTACATGACCTCTTTTTTCTTTTTCTTTATTTACCCTTTCCTCAATAAGTCTAGCATAGGCACCTTTCTTTTCCCTTAGATTAACTTTGTAGATTATTTCTTTTCCTTTAATAAAATGAGCATTTTATTCTCTTACATATGATCATCACATTGCATTGCATAAAAAAAAAAAATCCATGTCAAACTAAGCACAAGGTATACCAATGATTTGAGGCACCCCTTGTAGCCATATCATATCACCTTTCACCCTTCAATTATACATCCTTTTTTGGTAAACCACTTTGAGCCTCGTCTAACGATAGACCCTTCACTTTTTCAACCCATATCTACCTAACTTTGGGATGGGATTGTGTGCAACTTATGCAATTTTTTTTTTTAAAAAAGCATGAGTGACTTCAAAAGATAAAATAGCAAAAAATAAATAAATAAAAAAAAGTGTACAAAAGGGCAAGTGTTTCAATGTCTTTGATATGAACACGTCTCAGATTGCGTCTCTTATCGAGTGCTTGGTACCGTGCCTGAGAAACATGAATGCCAAGTGAGTGATAGACCGCATGATCGGTATTGCCCACACTTATAAAAACAAAATAAATGCTAAAGCAAAAGAAAGAGAGCTAAAAAAGAGTAGAAACTCAAGCATAAAAAATAAAGATTTCAAAAGCAAGGTTGCACACCTTGGGGGCTTATCTAGGGTCTTGAGCCTTTATCCCCCTTCTTCTCTAACCTTTATCCTAACCACGTTACAACCCTTAAAAAGACCTTTTTGAGGTGTACATACACTTGTGCAAGGTTCGGCTAGAGCTACGTCCGGCCTGATTCCTAATGGATACTAGGCAACCTCACAAAGGGGTGCGGCTGTAATAAAAATGCATTCATATTTTCATTCACAATTGATCATATCAAGGGATCCCCTGTGCTCATCCCTATTCACTTAGAGCTAGACTTGGGGGCTTGATCCCTACATCATTAGCTTACCTAGCCTAAGAGTCACCATTATTTGACTATTCTAATAATAATATTTTTCCACACACTTAGCCTTTGCGGCCTAACTTTAGTGTCACTATCACACACATCACACATACATGACCAAATATACTTCTCTTAGGAACCCTTTGTCATGGAATCTTAACACAACGCTGAAGCATGCCTTGTCATACCAACATCACTCATCAATCATAATTGTCATTGCATCACGAAGTATGAAGTGCTTAGCCTCCGTGCCTAAGTTACCCAAATACTTTCATCATTGAGTCAACCATTGAGATAGCCTAAGATGGATTATTAATCCTTGCACCTTGAGAGTATTATCAAATGACATTTGACTAAGCTCATTCAACATGCACCTTCAAAAACTTCGTTTCTTTCTTTTTTCGCGTCTGTCCTTTTCGGGAGAAAATCGGTACCCTCCACAAAAATGACAGAAAATTTTTGCTTTTTTGCATTTTCGAGTCGCACGATCACATTACAATGCACACACGGGTCATGAGTCACATGTGTCATTTCACTTCGAGTCGAGTCAACCTCGAGTCAATCACAGTGAGTCCAGTTTATACCTTGAGTTGTGTCAAGTCAATGAGTCAAGCGACATTAAGCCTTAGGTCAACTCTAAAATAATTAAAGAAATTAGCAAAGTTCTCTAGCCAAAAATAAATACAGGTGCAGCAGAATAGGGAAGACCCTACTCCAGCGCCAGACGGAAACATCTAGCGTCTGGCAATAGATTTCAGCGTCTGGGCGACAGAGCCAATTCTTGGCGCCAGAGATATTTCAGCAGCGACAGAGCTCGAAGCCTCTCCGAAAGGTGATTTCGACCTTTATACAGCAATTTCGGGTTCCTTGGTACCACTACAAGAAAAAGGCAAATTAGCGACGGCCAAAGTAGTCGCAAATCTATCACAAAAATGGATTTGCAACAGATTTGCGACTACTTTGGTTAGTCTCTAAACACCTCGTCGCAAATCTATTTTTGCGACTAATTTTTGAATAGTCGCAAATTTAGCAACGGATTTGCAACGACTTTGCAACTACCATTTAGTGACTAACTTCAAAATTTTAGCAACTAAATCACTGTCCGTTGTAAAATATTTGCGACGAATTAGCGACTACGGAGACCAATGTTTTGTGACGGATTAGCGACTACTAGACCAAAATTTTGCGACTGCGAGACTAAACTTTTGCGTTGACAGAGACTAATTATTTTGCGACGAATTTGCAATTACAAGACTAATTTTTTTGTGACGGATTATACTACTGAGACCAATTATTTTGCAACTAAGCACTCATTCTCTAAAACAAATATGCAGTCGCAAAAATCTAGCGACTGACTATCAATATTTGGAGACCATAATTTAGCGAGGACCAATATCTGTCACAAAAAAAAAATGTCAAATTTATTCAAATATCCAAACCATATTAATAAATCAAAATTATCATCAGTTTTGTATCAATGTATTAAAAAACAACATTACCAACCATATGACTAATTTTTTTTCAAAATCACCTCTCATATAAAAGAAGCTACTTCCAATAAAAACTAATAACGATATACAAATATGCCTCCAAATATTAAAGATTAGCTGTTCACAAAATTATCACCAAGAAATTAAAAATCACTTAGTTAAATCAAGAGAGCGGGTGAGAGTAGACGTAGGAGGCTTAGTAAGACAGCAATGTTGGACAAGGTTTGTCATATCCTTCGATGTTTTGTGCATAGCCATTTTTTTCTTCTTCCGTGTTGCTTTTTCTATCTCATGATTTTCAGCAATTTCCTTGGCATATTTTAAACTTTCTGCCGCTATTTTTTGGCTTTCTTCAAACTCACGTCTCCAAGTATATGTATGCTGCACATGATTATCAAAGTTGAAACCATATGCATTAGAATTTAAAAAACACAATTGTCAAAATTTGACAACACGGAGACATTACTCGATAGAGGCTACTAAAAATCAGCAGTCAATTTTTTCTTCCACCCAAATCTCTTAAGTGCCAAATGTTAGAAAGAAGCACGAAAAGAGAGGGGACAGGGAAGATATGAAGAGGTGGTAGCCTAGGAGGCATGGAAGGAATATAGACTTCCTCTTATAAGTACACATTCAGGGCCTAAAATACCAAAGTATCAACAACTAATGCAGTGAGTTAGAACACTTAATTTTATATACTTGATTTAATGATATTCTGATCACATTCAAAAATCTATGACAATAAGCCAAAAACAAAGCACTAATAACATGTTCAGATCACTTTTTTGATAGATATTCATAATAAGATCGCAATGCACAATATCCAATCAGTTTGTTATAAAAAATAAAACCCTATGATGCTGGCCGCTGGCGGTTGAGCATCTGCCATTACAGCTAGGTACATTAATGTTTTCTGCAGCTGAGCCTAGTACCTAAATTTTTCAAATCATAAAATAGGCACAAAAGGACTTATTTGCCAGCATACAAAGTAATAAAATTAAAAACCCTTAATAAGACCATAGATAAGAACAATCAATAACACTTGAAACCAGATTCGGAATATAGAGTATTATTAAACATTTTCAGTAAATTTGAGATTGCTTTAATTTTTAAGAAAATTATAATTGTATATCATGGATCACAAATCATGGACTCAAATCCACTTGTTCTAGCTGTGTGTGTGTAGTAGAAAGAGAAAGAGTTTTAGCTGTGTGTGTGTGTGTGTGTTAGTGTTCTGTTTGTCATCTCCTCTTCTGAAGAACATTTCTTTTATTTTTTTGTTTTTCTTTTTTCGTACAAGAAAGACCATTTCCTTGAAGCTACGATGTTAGTATGAGAACTAATTTATGTGAAGTGCAAGCTAACTGGAACAAGCTTTAGCCAACAACTAAAAGGAAGCATCAAGACTTATCTACTAAACACCTGCTCTTGAGTACTGCGTCAACCTTACAAATGAAATCAACAAGCATATTTCCAACAATAAGCACCTAGCTAGGAAAGCTCATGGACTCTTTTACCACGTCCCTGAATCTATAATCATCAAACCTACCAAATTAAACTTTGTGAGCCGACACAACAGTTGAATGAGAGATTGTATCACAAAGTGCTGTAATTCCAACCCTCTTGTAGCCAATTAGTTTATTAAGTAATTCCCTTGCACACAAATAAAAAAAAATTAAACAAAGAGATCAGACAAGAATGAAAGGTACACTCAAAGCTGAGATGAGTCTTATGCCACTATTAGCAAGAATTTGCAACCGTCCCTGTAGTGTGGATCACCCAGCTTTACGAGGCATTTATATTATAAACCAATGAATCATTTCTACAGCAAATAATATACAACAATGAACCATTTTTCGAAAATTTGGTACCACTCCATCACCAAATGTATTACTAACAATAACACACACAAGGACTGCAATAAGTATGGAAATCTACTATTCAGTTAGTGGAATTGATTTTATAAACCCCAACCAAAACATAGATAACCTCAACTCCGCTCACAATACTTTCACAGCTTAACTGTATTAAATCTAATCATTGCAAATTTGTTTCATTTAACCTTAATTAGGAAATGTGAAAACAAGAATCATAATTACATTACATATACATGACATGTTTGTTGTAGTCCATTTCTCAATATAAAATTTGTGCATCAACGAGGCTTTCAGTTTTGTTTAGCCAATTCTACTATTATATATCCAATTGAGCACTTAATTGTGCATTAGCTAATAATTTGATGCAGATCATGGTGGGGTAAATGTACTTTTTATTTTTACATAACAAATAATGAATATGGAAAATAACGGACTTTCACGATTCAAATTAATACTAGGTTGCTATTTTGTAGCTATCTCGCATACACAAACTAAATAATCAATCAATTTTGAATGGTTTCACATTAATTGACTTCAATGATAACCCTAAATTTTGCAATTGGCAGCCAATTTAAAATCAATTCAATCAACGCAATTCAAATGGAAACCAGATTAAAGTCAGATCAATTTGCAACTCAATCATTTTGCAATTCAATCAATTTAATCAACAATTAGATTAAAATCAATTCGCAACTAAATCAATACGCATTTCAAACAATAATTAGATTAAAATCGATCCACAATTCGCATTGGAAACCAATGTAAAATAAAAAATTGGACAAAAAAACTCAATGATTACCCTAATATTTGCAATTGGCAAATTGTATTAAGAGAAAGATGGAATGGACGGTAGGAAGGGGAAGAATGCGTAACTAACCTGGGAGGAGATGTGCTGGCAGCAGCGGAAGATGAAAACGACGGCAACAAGTTCACTCTGAAGTTCTGAACTTGGTTTTAAAATTCGCCATGGAAGCCTTTGTTTTTTTTTTTAAAGGAAGAAGAGTATGTACTTGTTTTTTTTAAAGGAATAATAAGGATTAGGGATTGATAGTTAGTTCTTGTTTTTTTTAGGAAACAATTTAGTATACTTTATACGTTTTTAATTTCTTTATTAATAAATTTTAAAAATAATGGTAGTGACTATCATGTTAGTTGCAATAGTAGTCACAAATGTTTTTAAAAAATGGTTTCAAAATAATTAACCCTAGCAACTATAATTTAGTCGCAAAAAATTTTTAAGAGTGTCCCACATTAGCGACCAATTAGCAACTACTAAAAAATCGGTTGCAAAATTTGCAACTACTCTTATTTTTTAGTCGCAAATTTTTTTTTTGCGCCTGATTATTTGGTAGTCGTAAAAGACAGTTGCTAAATAGTGAACACATAGCAACTTATGTAAAATTGGTTGCAAAATTTGCGACTACTCGTCTTTTTCAGTTGCAAAAATAATTTTTGCGACTGATTATTATGGTAGTCGCAAAAATCAGTTGCTAATTCTTCTTTTTCTTGTAGTGTACGCCAGTTAGCCCCTATAAGCAATTTGACATGATTAAGTAGTCGGTTTGATTACAGTCACAATAAGTGATCGAACTGATGAAAAATCGTCTCACTTAGCTTAAAGCGCCTAAGCGTTGGCTTATCACGGACATAATGGTTCACAAGAAGCAAATCGCCGACGTACTGGCATAGCGGAAGCAAAGTTCAAGAGATCTTTAGAGATCGGCAAGCGTTGGTCTTCGGAAATTTTTCTTTGGAATTATATCGCAACAAACATTCAAGAATCAAAAGCTCTTTGTTCAGAGACGCGTGGACATATCGTCAAGCTCTTTTGCTCCAGAGACGTGTGGACGTTTATTGCAAGCTCTTTTAATTTGTTCAGAGACGAGTGAACAATCCTATTATCAAGCTTTTTGTTCAGAGACGCGTGGACACATCATTCAGAAGTTCATATTAAAAAATATATAAGCTCTTTGTTCAGAGACGCGTGGACATGTATTTCAAGCTCTATTGTTCAGAGACACGTGGACATATTAAAAAAAGGAGCTCTTTGTTCAGAGGCGCGTGAACATATCCAGAAGCTCTTTGTTCAGAGACGAGTGAACATCGAAACAGCGAGATGGCGTTCCCTAGATTGTGGAGAGTTGTCAAAGAATAACTTAAGGTGATTTCAAGCGAAGTTGTCTTCGATCATGTTCCCTTAGACGTGGAAGATGGTCACAAAGCGGAAGAGGATTGTTTCAAGCGAAGCAATCTTCGATAGTATTCCCTTGGACGTGGAATATTATCAAAGCGGAAGAGGATCGTTTCAAGCGAAATAATCTTCAATATTGGAAGCAGTTACAAGCGTAGCGGTTTTCAAGCGGTATGTCATTCTCTTGGCAGGAGGTCATCAAAACAACAGTAAAGCGGCAACAAATCGGTTACTTTCATAGACGTGTGCTCGACGGTGTAAGATACGCGTTTCTTAACTCTTTTATCTGTTTGACTAATGCTAGTTTGCAGGTATCGGCGTTACAAGAGTGATTTAGGGTTGCCAAACGTTCTGAATCATTCTCCGTCCCTATCGCTACTTTGACTTTCGTTTTCGAAACTTGCGTTTCTCCAAACTCAGTAAAAGTGGGGGCTTCTGTAGACACCCATTTGTGTCTCCCCAAAACTAAACCCAGTGATGAGTACCTTTCACGTCGAATCATAATCGAATGAAGTGAAAGTGTGGAAAGTCCAGTGTTGCGGACAATTTTAATTTCTTTTCTCTTCTCTCTGTTTTTGAAAACTTATTTTAAGAAAATAGCCGATTTAGTTTGGTTAGTCCATGATATGGGTCCAATACAAGTGTAGTTGGATAGGGCTTGAGAAGAGCTTTCCAACGATATATTATAAGCCCAATTCCGATGAATATTGAGGAAGTTATGGCCAAATTAGTGAACTGGGCCCGGTTTGAGCCTTATGTGCGGCCCAATGATCTAGAGGAGGGCCTAATATTGATTTATCATTCCTAATTCAATTAGCATTGATAAATTGACTTTTGTTGACTTTTCATAGTTAAAATTAGAATCAAAGAGCATTTTTGAGGAAAAATACGATTTTATCCTCCTGTACGGCAATTTCTATCTTATTTTAAGAAAACGCGTCAAATTCCTAGTCAGCGCCAAATGCCAGCTGTAACGCCTGACGCTACGCTTGGCGCCTGGCGATAGCTTTATCTGTTTACAATCATCTACAATCACAAATTTTCACCAACTCTCATCAAGATTCTCTTGATTATTTTTTCTCTCTTTTCTAAACTAGCTTTCTCACAAATATAAAAATTCAGCATTCATTAGATCTAGAAACACCTAGCCATATTCGAAGTCGCCTTCGCCCTAGACGTGAAAGTTTTAATTTCTGAGGGTTTGGTCCCAAATCTCTATTTCAATTATTTAATTTAATTGTTGTTTATTATTTTCCTTGAAGTTACTAATGTGTGTATTTTGTTATTAGAAAGAGGTACGAGGCATCGAATTAAGTATTTTAATGGTTTAATTGATGTTTTGATGTAGAAATCATGTTTAGATTGTTATTATGATATTCCTAGTATCATGTCTAGTGTAATTTTAATATTAAATATGATTGTTATGATGCCTTTTGTGTTCTTCCTAATATTTATTCATGTTAGTATGATGTTAGGGTTAAAGCTTTGATTTTTATTGTTTAGTGACATGGTAGGGTTTGTTATTAATCTTGTTAGTATCATGCTTAGGATCTTGCTAGTATTATGCTTTAACGATGATATGATTATGATTTATGATTATAATTATTATGATGATTATTATGATTTATTATGTTGCTTGATATTTATTGTTATTGCTTGATCACGCCTTTTATGAATGTTTAAAGGGAATTTGTACTAGTAATCACGCTTAATAAGATAATTATTAATCTTATTTAGGGATAATATGATTATAATTTAAGTGATCGCCAATAATAGTTTTATTTGTGCATTAAAATTCAACCAATATAGATTAAACAGGTTTAGGTTAATCCTATTGCTTGTATTTTAGTCAGAAAGTGCACATGAATGCGATCAGAATAATGTAGAGGCCTATTATTTGGGCAGGTTCAACCTCTTTTAGGTTGGATTTGTACCTTCATCCTCGAACCCTATTTGGTTCATGACCTTATGGAGTTGACGATCTCTTGGATCGTTAAGGGGTGTAACCTTCACCTCGTGAACGGTTTACAAGTTCCTAAAACTTGTTGGCGACTCTTTTGCTCTATCTTCTTTCCCTTTGGACGCAACTGTACTTTAGTGTATGACCACAGTGGGGTTCAAGCTAGGGGTAGTGCTTGAAATATTCCCTACTAGCATCAATTAATTCTCTATTTTTCTCTCCTCTATGCTCAAGCCTATACACTAGCCTGCCCTTCTTCTTTCAAAATTCCTTCTTCAAGCACTCCATAAAGTCCATACTTTACTCGTGGTTCTGTCCTTAAGCCAAGGCGTGAAAGTAGAACTATTTGAGGGTTTGGCCCCAAGTCAACTCTATTTTATTTTATTTAATTTATTTATCGTTTTATTATTATTTCCTTGAAGTTACTAACTCGTTTATTATTTTATAGTTTCAAGCAAACATAATCAAAGTAAGAATTATGTTCCTTTTATTTTTATTATGTTTCTAACGATTTTATATTGTTGGATTTATTGTTAAATGTTTCCAATATTAATGTATTTTTTTTAATATTTATTGATCACCATATTGCATGTTAAAGGGAATATGTAATTGAAAATCACGCCTAATAAGATAATTTGGACGACCGATTTAGGTTCCTTTTTAATCTTGTTATTTAATCAAGTGATCACAAATATTTTAGAATAATGTGTTGCATTAATATTCAACCAATTTAGCATAATAATAGTTTGGAGCAAATTGAAACTTTGTTTGCATGCCTTTGAGATCGGAGGAATCACTTTTCACTATAAGAATCGAGTAGAGGCCAATACGGGCGATTGTGACTCCATGACTCACTTCGCACCATCATCCCCGATCCTCCTTTCGTGGTTCCGAACCATATGGAGTTAGTAATCTCATGGATTATGAATGGGGTGTAACCTTCACGGGTCAATAGTTGTTGCCTATCGTTGTCCCTTATCGTGGTTGCCTTTTATGATCCGTGAACAGTTTACACGTTCCTTAAAAACTTGTTAGCGGCTCCCTACTTTCCTTATTCCTAATTATATATGTCAATTCCCACTTCCTAAGAGTGCCAAGCACATTCACATATGATTTAACATAGGCGCACTTCGAGCGACGCCTACAATTTGGCGACTCCATTGGGGAGGATTCTTAGTTATTTATCGATTTGAGTGATCGGTATTTAATTAAGATGAGTGGATGAGACTTGAAAGATTCTTGAAAAATGTTTCTGTGATTAATTTGGCATTTGCGTAAGCATAGATGTTTTAACACCGCATTTAGGTCTGTCCCGTAGGAAAAATTGAATAACTTTATTGCGTACGAAGGAAAACAGGGCAACAGTCAGATTTTCTGACTGCCGTGCCACGGCAGAATATGCCTTGTCACGGTGCAGTTCACCGTCTGACGGTGGGTTGCACCGTGGCACTATGCTATTTGCCGTGTCACGACAATCCTAAAATCACTCCAGCGGCTTGTTTTCTCTTCTCACAGTCAACTTCCTTCGATTTTTTTTGAAAAAACATGTGTGTTCTACATGCGTCTTAGCCCCGGGGAATTGAAGCTCTATCAACCCAAAAATGCTCATGGCAATAAGGGTTCATCCGTGTTATTAAATCCAACCAAACCATGGAGTCGAGTTCAATTTCATCACGAACTCATGGAGCCACCCGTTGGCATACACCCTCAAGGGAGGCTGCCTTGCTAACGCGTCCAAACTCTTAACCATGGTACCCTTTTGACACCCAAAGCTTGACCAATAGTTGAACATAGATCTTGACCTTAGGTTGCGAACTATTTTTACATCATTGTGATTAAATGCTACATGGTTTTTTTGGTGCTAACCCTCATGTGTTTGCTCTTTTTGGTTTATCCCATGACCGAGGGTTTTTATTTCAACATAGTAATTAGTACGGACTAAAACTGATTAAAATCTGGAAAATACACAAATTTAGGCATGGAATTACGCACCGTGTCACGGCAGGTCTGCCGCGCCACGGTGTGCAATGCAATGGCACAGTGCGTTGCCCCGTC